TGCATTTGCTAACAGCTACTGAATAAGCAGCATGCAATTTGCTCTTCATTAACGTTCGATGTTTTCGTTAATTGCTTAAACTGGCTTAAATTTCGCGGTACATAACTCTTCCCTTAAGTGTCTTATACGGAAGTTGTATTTTTCCGGCCCATTTGAAATTTCAATTATTGCCCATACAAGCAAGCATACGGTCCCAGGAAGTAAGTGAGGATAAGAAGAAGATAGGATCACATCATTATCTTCCTCTCAATTTCAACTACTCTTTGCACAATTTCTCAAGTCTGGTGATGAATTGGGTAGCCAGCGTTGAAAACGTGCTCAATAAAGTTACCTTTTCCTTCAAATTATATTCCTCAGGATGCCTGCTTTAAAATATTCGAACTAAACAACTTTCTAATGCTATGTAGGGCGTCCGCAACCGCATATAACTTTGTGGAAATTTCGTGAAAAGGCAACTGATTAATATGTCGTTATGAAATCCAAAAGACAGTTTAAATAGCAGGTCAGATGTCTAAACATTCAAAAAAAATCACTCCTTTTGAAGCGGCCGTTTAGACTCTAGTCTATGGTGTTCTGCATGCTCTCCATACAAGTTATTTGCAATGGTGGTCAAAAAAATGTCGGAAAAATAATGCGTGAAATATAATGCATCTTTATGCTGAGCGTCCCCCCTGCAGGTAAACGACAGAAAGCTTATTAAAAAGTTTAAATCCTGGTGTGAATAAAAAAATAGTTTGGAATTCCTTTTCGTCTTAGTCTAATCTAGCGGAAGTTATAATTTAAAAGTTCTGAAGGACCTAGGAAAGGCATGTATAAATATAATTACTACGTGTAGCTCGCCATATGCGTCCGACTTGCACGCATTCCGATTTTTTATCCTGCAGGTAGAACAAAATTTTATTTTGGCGCAATTGCAATTTTCTGCCTTTTCTGTGCACTTCTGACCACCAAGCGGTCCAGCCAAGTTCAGTTAATATTTAATGCTGACAGAAAATGAACCGGTACTTTTTGTATTAATGAATTCTTGGTATTCTCAGTCGGAGTTAAATCTTAGCAACATCAAAGCTGATATTCGTTTGACCTGGTGCCACTGCCCTGAAGTTTTTCCTATCAGATATCGGGTAAAAAATTAATAAAGTCCTTTTTTTTCGTATACAAGGAATTCAGACGGCGTCTGGTAGAAGTATGTGAGCACTTTTCATTATTTTGTTCAAGTCAGCTGACGTTGTTAGAGAAACAACCAACTTTAATGATAGAGAGTAAGCTGGGTGCCTAGTAAATGTTCCCAGACGGGGCTGAACTTGTCACCTCCAAATTTATGCTTTGAGATTGTCAAGGTATTCAGTGGGACATATACATTTGTGAAGTAATTCGCACGGTCACGTTTATATTTTTGTTGAACGTGATATGACATAAACGTCCCTAAAATTGCACACACATAGTGGTTTTATTCTGAAGCGACATATTTACCCAAAAAGCAACCAGCCAAAAATAGCCTGCAAGTTTTATGGAGGGGATACCTGATTTTGCAGAGGGACATTCTATTTGTCTACGTTTAAGCTTCACGTTCTAACATTTTATTGAAGGCAGCTACGGATAAGGAAGATGAAAGCACTCATTCAACATAATTCCCATCAATATGAGTACTTACCACCTTAAACCTAAATGGCCCTAATTTGCACACTGATTGCTTGAATGTTCGCATCCACATCGGATGTATTGTGGG